ATTGATACTTGATGATACAAATTACAAAAGGCTGTTTGTTTAGGTTGGTAGAAAAGTTTTATCACCGGGTTGGTGTAGGTAGATTAATTTTAACCGCCTTTGGTTGGTAGTAGATGCAGTGATTATTGTTAGTTGAGTTAAGCCAATTATTGCCATTTATGGACCAACTCTTACCACATAATATACTAGAAAACCGGATCTACTTGTTCTTGGTAGATTATGATAAATCTGTTTTTTTTGCTCGAGTTAATGTCAGATGACAACTAGTAGCTGACACCTTAGAGAAAGGTCATCAGTAGTTTAGCAATTTTCTTATAACTATTGTGACTATGTGTTTAAGTTACAACAAAATTCTAATGTGTAAGAGTACATATTTGCTTTTTACCTTTTAGACTCTAGCCATGTAACTGAGTTCTACTAGGTTCCTTCGTTAGTGTTAAAGTAGTATGATTCAGAACCAATATAGGTAGTCTGACTACATTTAGCTTACCTTTTTATCATGCTTGTAGCCTACAAGTTGTAGGGGTTACCTTATGGGGATGATATTTGAGGTTTTCCCTGGAAAAAAATATAACGAAGTTTCTGGTTTATCTTTTGTATGAACTTGTTCTTAAGAACCCAAAACAGACTTTTATACTCCGTTTTTTTGTGGAGTATGTGTTGTTGGGTGTGGACCCGTGAAGACAAAAGGGGAATGTGGGGTAATGTATTTGCACCAGAAGCTCTTTTAGACAAAAGAGTTCGTTAAGCTAGCAAACCTTGGAGGTCCATTATTGTTCCTTATGCATAGTGAAAACCAAACCCTTATTATCTTCTTGTCCCCAAAATCAAACATACGTTTTGTCACAATACCAAAATATGTAACAAAAGGTTTCAAATTATTATTGCAAATCTCAATTATTCGTATTGTCCTCTTCAACATGGGCAACAACAGCAACATAGGAACCGACGTCAAAATCCTATTAACGACGAAGAAGATGATCTTCATCGACAAGTCTTTTATGAGGATCTGCGACAACAGGATAACTATGATAACCGCTGGGAACATAGCTTTCGGATCGATATTCCGAAATTTCATGGAGGTCTCCGTGGTGATGATCTTATCGACTTGCTCATATCCGTCGAAGAAATTTTAGAATTTAAAGAAATACCGCCAGCTAGGCAAGTATCGCTCGTCGCAACACGTTTCCGTGGCCATTCGGCAACTTGGTGGAAACAGCACAAACTCGTACGGGTAAAACTCCCATCCGATCATGGGAAAAATTGACTAAACATCTCGTCAAACGTTCCTCCCACATAACTACGAAAGAACCATGTATACAAAGCTGCAAAACCTTCGTCAAGGTAATCATAGTGTCAACGAATACACAGAGGAATTTTCACACTTATTAACTCGTAACGAGATCAATGACAGTCAACCTCAGCTTGTCTCGAGATTCATCGGGGGATTACGTCCACAGTTACAGACTTCGATGGCTCAGTGTGACCCAACCACTATCGGAGAAGCTCATAGACGCGCATCGTCGTTTGAACAACAGTCTCAATCAAACAATTGGTCTACGCCTTCCAATCGTGGTCATTCTCAAGATCAATCTGCAAGTAATACAGTGTCAAAGGAACCAGGAGATACGTCGACTTCAGCCACTAAACCAGCTACGCAAGAAGAACAACAACTCCGACGATCAACCCGACCTAACGCTTTAAAATGCTACATGGACACCGACAAACAGCTTGTCCAAATGCACATCGCCGAGGGTTAGTGATCAATGATACAGTCAATGAAGATGTCTACGATTCCCATGAAGACAACGAGCATTCCGATAACGACGTCCAACCAACCACCGGTGACACGGGACATTTACTTGTCCTTTGGAGAACATGTCTCAACAGCCTGAAACCCTCTCCTATCTGAAGGTCTGGCTTTTGCATTAGTACCAACAGCCCCCTCTCCTCTCTTATACACTGCCATCCACAAATACATTACCACAGTCCTCAATGAGTTCCAGGAGGTATTTCCAACAGAATTACCAAATTCTTTACCACCGTTACGGGATATCCAACATCACATTGATCTGGTACCGGGCGCAACGCTTCCCAACAGACCTCATTATCGCATGAGCCCTGATGAACACGAAGAACTTCGCCGAAAAGTAGAGGATCTATTACGCAAAGGTCATATTCGTGAGAGTCTGTCCCCGTGCGCAGTACCAGCTCTTCTCATTCCAAAGAAAGATGGGACATTGCGGATGTGCGTTGACAGCCGGGCTATTAATAAAATAACAGTACGCTATCGGTTTCCAATACCTCGTCTTGATGATCTCTTAGATCAGATTGGCTCAGCATCTATTTTCTCCAAAATAGATCTTAAAAGTGGATATCATCAAATTCGTATCCGGCCGGGCGATGAATGGAAGACTGCGTTCAAAACCCGTGAAGGGTTGTTTGAATGGCTTGTTATGCCGTTTGGTTTATTAAATGCACCGAGTACTTTCATGCGCATCATGAATCAGTCCCTCCGGCCTTTTATTGGAAAATTTGTCGTCGTATATTTCGATGATATACTAATTTTCAGTTCAACGATCAACGATCAACGGTCACATATCCCACTTACGAGAAGTTTTACAGGTCCTCAAGAGAGATCAAATTTTTTCGGCAAAGCATAAATGCGAGTTCGGAGTTCCTGAAGTTCTTTTCTTAGGATATGTCGTCTCCGGGAAAGGATTAGCGATGGACCAATCCAAAGTAGAAGCCGTCGCTCGTGGCCGGTTCCTACTACAGTCTCGGAGGTCTGTAGTTTCCATGGATTGGCCTCCTTTTATCGACGGTTTGTCAGACATTTTAGTTCTATTATGGCTCCAATTACAAGTTGCATGAAAGAAGGCAGATTTTCTTGGTCCCCCGAAGCAACAATCGCTTTCGATTTGATCAAAACAAAGCTTACTACAGCGCCCATTCTCGTGTTGCCTGATTTATCCGAGACCTTTGAACTACACTGTGATGCTTCAAAGCTTGGGATAGGGGCGGTGCTCAGTCAACGTGGGCGTCCAATCACTTATTATAGCGAGAAACTTGCTGCCTCAAGATCGCGTTATAGCACATATGATGTCAAATTCTATGCCATCGTCCAAGCTATTAAGCACTGGCGGCATTACGTCATACAACGTGAGTTTATTGCTTTCACGGATCATGATGCTTTACGTCATCTTGACAGTCAAGCTAAGGTTTCCTCACGACATGCTTCTTGGATTTCTTATCTGCAGCAGTTTACATTCTCCATTCGACATCAGTCCGGGAAACCAACCGTGTGGCTGTCTCGTTGAGTCGTCGTCACACCATTCTTACTTTGATGCACTCAACGGTCGCTGGTTTTTCCTCCTTGGCTGACCTATATCCAGACGTTAAGTTCTTTGGCCGAATCCTTGTTTAAGCAACTAATGGTGTGTCCAGGGACTTTACTCTGAACGATGGCTTTTTGTTCCGGGGATCGCGACTCTGCATACCAGATTGCAGCCTCCGTTTAAAGATTATTCAAGAGCTTCATAATGAGGGTCATGTAGGGAGGGACAGTACTCTGCAGCTCGCGACTTCCTCTTATTTTTGGCCAACAATGCGACGAGACATTGAACGCTTTGTCGAACGTTGTCGCATTTGTCAACTTAGTAAAGGTAAAGCTTCAACTGCGGGACTCTACCTTTCATTACCAATTCCAACACAGCCATGACGGACATAAGCATGGATTTTTTCCTTGGTCTTCCTCGAACGCAATGCGGACATGATTCCATCTTCGTTGTTGTCGACAGGTTCTCTAAGATGGCCCGTTTTATACCATGTAAAACGACTTCAGATGCCGTCAACATCGCAGTACTTTTCTTTCGCGAAATTTATAAGCTCCATGTTTTGCCAACATCCATTGTATCAGACCGTGATACAAGTGAGTCACTTTTGGTGTTCGCTTTGGAAACTTCTGGATACAAGTTTAGATATGAGCTCTTCTTATCACCCGCAAACTGACGGCCAAACTGAAGTCACCAATCGGTCACTTGGGAATCTACTCCGTTGTTTGGTTGGTGACAATATTAAGAGTTGGGATATAAAACTTTTTCAAGCAGAGTTTGCGCATAATCATGCGGTTAACCGAAGTTTAGGTTATTGTCCTTTTCAAGTGGTGTATGGCGTTATTCCTCGCGCCCCTCTCGATCTTACAACATTACCCTACAAGACTAGGCTCCATGGTGAAGTCGTGGATTTTGTTGCAGAGGTTCAGGGTGTCCATCGGTTGGCCCTCGACAATTTACATGCTTCTTCAGCACATTATAAACGTGATGCCGAAAAGAAACGTCTTGAACTCATTTTTGAACCAGGTGATCTTGTATGGGTCGTCCTCACCAAGGAGCGTTTTCCTATTCGAGAATATAATAAATTGAAGGCTAAAAAGATTGGCCCAGTGGAGATTCTAGAGCGTCTTAATCCTAATGCTTATCGGGTTCGTCTACCTTTTCACATACGTACATCGAATGTTTTCAATATCAAGCACCTGTATCCGATCATGGGGATAATGACGTCTTCGATTCGTGGTCGAATCCTTCCAACCCGGCGGGACCTGATGCAGCTCAACCTATGACTGCAGACGAGCTTCACGAGCTTGTTCCCAACTCCTCTTCCTCGTCCGATTAAGGACTTTCCTTTTTCTATTTTGATTGCCTTTTTTCCTTTTTGTTAAGTTTACTTTTTCTAATTAGGAAAAGGAACTTCATCAAACCCTTTAGGTTTATGGATTTTCTTAGCTACTATATATAGAGATCTAATGAATTGTTAGAGTTACAATTCAATTAAGAAAGATTTCAGTTTTCTAAAGAGTTCTATGAACACTGCGAAGAGTATTTGCAACCCTAAAGAGTTCTAACGAACACTGCAAAGAGTGTTCGCGCCTTTACTATCGTTTCTCAACCTTCAAGTTAGGTTTATAGCTTCCGCTCTCCATCACGTTCGCTCCATGTCCTATGTTGGGACACATGAGTACTTGGCTCTTGAGATTGTTTCAGGTATACTTCAAATCTAACTCATCATGATCTGCCACATTATTTTGTTAGTTTAGATCACACTAACTCATCCAAAATGTGGATGGCAGGAGAAGGACATGGGAGCGCGGTGGACACTGGGGATATTCATGTTCGAGCTGTTCTACGGTACGACGCCTTTCAAAGGGATGGACCACGAGTTAACCCTTGCTAACATTGTCGCTAGAACACTCGAATTTTCAAAAGAGCCTACCATTCCAAGTGCAGCCAAGGATCTGATCTCTCTGCTACTGGCTAAGGACCCGATCCGACGATTGGGATCGTCTCTTGGTGCATCAGCTGTGAAACGCCACCCGTTTTTCCAAGGAGTTAATTGGGCTTTTCTCATGTGTACTCGTCCTCCTTTTCGTCCTCCGCCTTTCCGCAAAGAACTTTTGTCTGATGAAATTTGTCCTGAAACCCATGTCAACTATTATTAATAACTAATAAGAACATAATTTAAGTGACATTTCTAAAGTCTAGAAAAGAACATACTATTCAATCATTCACAACCCTCAAAACATATCAAGAGACTTCGTACCATAGTTTGCAATGCATACCTTCTGCTTTAAAAGAGAAACATTACTGCGTTGATATCTAAAACAAATGAAAAATATGGTTGATAGAAGGAGATCATATCTTCGACTAAAAGAAAAATATGCGACACAGTGTTGTCTTTTTTCAGATGAAAAACATAATCATAGCTAATTCTTTACTATACACACATACAAAATCGATGAAGGTTTTTGTAAGACGAAATAAAGATAGAGAATCACCAGTCGATGAGAGAATGGGGAAACAATTTGATCATGCAACTTCATTGATCAAAAAGTGAATATGCACAATAAAATTTCTAGGGAAACATGAATTCTAGGGAACAACAGAGGCGGACCCACGTTGTGAAATGGGGGTCAGATGGCAATGTTTAATTTATATTCTAGTGTTTTTGTTAAAAGTATGTTAAGATTTTGGAACAGTTCTTGTTTTGGGCGACCCACCTAGGTTTTGCCCTAAACCCAGCACACTGGTCTCTAACGTCTCAAGACATGAACTGAGATCCTAAAGGCATGTCTCTTCACCCACATCTAAACACTTGCGAAAAATCAAAACACTCCGAGTAAACGAACTGGACGATTTACACCAAGAGTTAGATATGAGACGACAACTCGTACTCTTCCCTCTACATCTAAAACGAAACGCAGATTTCATACTTAGAAAATATTCTTATTAATATTTTTCGTTCAAATACATGCCGCCTAGTGGCAGGGATTCAAAGCCACCAACGGCCAGTCCCGGTAAACACTACAGCAATATCATACTACAAAGACATCATTCATCAAAATTACAAAACTCGAACGCCGAGCTTAAGCCGGCGCTAGCATCAATCCACGGCTGATTAACTTCGCCACTCGCGTCTGGAATCTCTGGTCCAACCTCTACTGAATCCGGCGACACAACAATAGGAGTCCATTTCTCCCACATTCGCGCCCTGAGATCAAAGAGTTTGGGCTGCATATCTCTCTTCCCATCCAAACACTCCATCTGCTTGGAAAACGTTTTGGCATACGAGTAACCCTCATTCTGAGTAAGGGACAACGCGTTAACGACACCGTGACACTCGAGATGATTGCTATTGGCCCGTTGAGAAACCTCAACATTCGAGGAACTGGTCGCAAATTGTTCACGACGAACCCTCGCTTCCTCAGCGACATGTCTTTTGCCTGCACGGCGAGCACGACGAACTCTCTGATCAGAAAGCTCCTTAGCACGACGAGAGTTAGCCGTGCATTTTCTCTTCACGCGAGCAACCTCCCTTTCAACCCTTTATTCGGCAGGGTTGGCATCAATCTCCGCCCGAAGATGAGCAACTTCTTTTTCCGCCATGGCCGCGCGAAACTCAGCAAGATGGGCTTCAGTGCTGCGATCATTTAAAGCTCGACTCATAATCAGGAGACCCTACGAAAAGAAAAATGAAAGGATAAGTGAAACTATTCAATCATAAGTCATTAAAAATAAAACAGACCTCATTGGCTTGCTCAGAAGCTTTGGCAAACTCTGGAACATAGCCAGGACCGCCGTCCGAGAAATTAGAATTTGATGATCCGCCTGCACATGCCCAAACGCCCTCGTTTACCCGACTATCAAGGAAATCCTTGAGTATGTTTTCAGGAGAAGCAGCACGGTCGGATGTGTTATTGTCAACAACCATATGCTTATCTTTTCGGGATCTTAACTTGTTCCTCCTCGTTGGGGACGTGTATGGGACGAATTCTCCTATAAACGGATCCTCTTCGAAAACCGGAGAATCTGCAAGATACCGAGATTGAAAAAGGGCGACTGCACGACGAACACGCTGCGGAGAAAAATTGTTCCAGCTACCTTCCCTGTTTTGAAGCGAAGCAATAACGGTAAAAAAATCCGCTGGAAACGGAGGCAGAGGGTTGGCCTCTGCAGAAAACAAAAGCAAATAAGTAAGAAAAAGGGGGGTTTTCTAAAATATCATACGCATTACGTACCTTTCCAACCCCATTTGGTTACAAGAAAAGGAATGCAGTCCTCCTCCACTGATGCGCCGTCGATGTGGACGTAGAAGAAATTCTTCTTCCAAGAACGATAATTCGACATGCAACTGGTGACTATGTCTTTGCGAGGGGATAATCTAATCCTTTGTGACGTCCCCTCATGTTTCAGTAAACCCTCGAGGTGTTCAACACTAAGAACTGTCCCTCGCTCGTAACTCAACGTCAACAGACCAACGAGCTGTTCCATAGCGCACGGGGTAATTTGGCTTATCGATAGCCCTAGGCGATGGTGGTATCGGACGACGATCTCCGGAAATGGAAACCTCAAATGGCATTGCATTAAAAACACATCATAACACGTAAAAAAGCCATCAGGCGCCTCTTTTGCACTCTCTCCAGCTATCGGAAGACGAAACTCTACCGCCTCTGTAACTCGGCAAAACTCCCGAATGGATTCGAGACCATTGGGACTAACCGAACTCGGTCATCCGGGAACATTTTGGGCATCGAACAGATGTGGAACCCAGGTTCCGGGTTTTGTAGGCCTCAATTCACCTCCAATCGCCCAATACTCCTCATGGTCTCTCAACTCGACCAATGGTAACGAGAGTTCTTCCTTCGGAACTACGAATCTAGGTTGTGAGTTCGTTCCTGCGGAACCATGACGATCGGAACTCGTTTCGGAACGAGTTCTTCTCTTCGAAAACATGTTTAGTAAAACGAGAGAAAGAGATTCAAAGGGAAAGGAAGAGAGAAAACTTCTTGAACATTAGATAAGTTATGGAAGGAAGTGAGTAAAGAATTTGAAAATTTACTCCATATACTTATAAGAAAAAGTTTTACTATTCATATTTGGACTTTTGGCCGATAAAGTTCCGCCTAATTCTACTAAACTTGCGAACAAGTTCGAACCACTCGCAAGAACTCCACAATTCTTACGAGGGGGGGCTATTTGTTGGGGTTAAAATCGGTACGACGGAATCAATGACCAAAACTTTCTACAAAAATAAAGACAAGTTTTATAAAACACGAGAAGTTTTTTTATAAAATTATAAGGACTTCCCGAAGAAAGGAAATACATGGAAAACTTGGAGATTGTCATCTCGGAAGAACGAACGAAACAATTGCCGATTACACGATTGCCCAAGTTAAGCGAAAACCGCAAAAAACCGCATCCGCCGTAAACCGTGAGCAGGTTCGACCGAACCAAGTTCAACATACGACAAGCCAAACCAGCCGGTTCAGCTCGCCGTACGGCGATCTGGTCGCCTCAAAACAGCATGCCATATGGCGAGCTGAACCAACCTGGTTCGGCTCGCTGTACGTCGAGCTGACCATCCCGAGCTTCGATCTCACGCATCCTTCACGCAAGTCATATTTCCTTCGGTTCGAACCATGATCGAAATGTCTCTCGTTGTCTCGATCCCTCTTACCTTTCAAGTTTTACGATAAAAATCGTAAAAGTCTTATTTTCTCGTAAAGTTCGGGAAGATCATATAAACTGGCAACGATTAGACCGAACATCGTGCATTGTCAAACTATATGATCAATCGAGAAATATTAAAAAACGGCATCGTATCAGGAAATAATTTTGTCTAAAATCGTAAAACAGCTCGGACAGCCCAAAATCACGATAAAAGTCCAGTTGCGACTTTAAACGAAATCCAGCTCAAAGATACAATAACAGTTTTAAGATTTACTCGCAGAAAGAAGATAAATGTCAAGCTTGAAGATAAATGTCAACTTTGAAGATAAATAGAAGATTTCCGCAAAGAAAATGGAAAGATCGAGATAAATGGAAGATTCCCGATAAACTCGAATCTGGGCGAAAAGGAAGGACTAAACCGCTTAAAGGAGGGAGTATATAAGCAGAAGGCAAATGACAGAAGCAAAGGACGAGTTTTCAGAGCTTTCACCACCAAAACTTAGCACTTAGGAATATTTCCGTTTTTGTTATCGAGCTGCGTCTCAACTAGGGTTTTAGTCTTAGATTTCTAGGGTTAGGAATCTCGCCGATGGCTCACGCAGGTAAGGCTTACTCTGGTTGTACCGTTCTTACGCAAACTCGGAATAATACTATTTTCGCTCTCAATCTCGTTTTCTTTTACAAATTTTATATTTATTCATATCGTGTTCTTGATTGCCTGTGTGCGGTTTCGCAGATAGCCAGGTCCTCTGGGAAATTAGGGTTTACTCTAAGTTCCTAAATTTACGTAAAATCGACAGGGGTGAATTTCGGTTCCCACATACACTGGTTTCCTACTTCTATGTATGCTAAAAACGTCTACGGACTAAGCTTATATAACATATTTTTACCGATCAACCTTAATACAATGTCAAAAATACCTCAACCCCTCCGTAGAGGCCTCGAGCCGTAAGCCTAGGAAGGGGCCACATGTACTAGTGCATCAATTCCTGCATCAAACACGCCCCGAGCTAGGCACGATGCAGGGGGCATGACATATAACGGCAGAGTACTGTGATCAGCCCCATGGCTTCAGAGAGCAGACGGTGCATAAAACCCCCGGAGCACTTCTATCCTACTTATCCAGATGTGGAAAGTAGCAAGTCTGGTACGTGGCTCAGTACTTCCTAGTAGACCCACCCCATCACAAACATATAAGACTGAGAGTGGCTTTCTGCAGAAAGCAAAGTGAAGCATTACATGATCTCGATAGTGGCCTACTTCCGAGTGGCAGAATGTGAATCCTTACCCGAGATCGGTAATGGCCTACCTAAGGGGGACATAATACAATCCCGATGACAACGAGCCTCCGGGACCCAAATGTTCAAAATTACGAATTTTACATTTTTACCCAAGATCGGTAGTGGCCTACCTAAGGGGGGCAAAATACGATCTCAAAGACAATAACCTCAGGGTCCTAGATGTTCAAAATCCCGAATTTTACATCTCCTAT